ATATATATATATATACTACAACTATAAATTCTAGGTTAAAGAGAATCGGGAAAATATCCCACTAAACTAGGAGATAAGAGATAGAGGAAAACTGAATTTAAAGATAGGAAATCAAATCCTAATCCTAATATCAATCCGAACTATATTGAGGATAATTCCTAATTTGAATTTTGAATTTCAACACATTTGTTGAAAGAGCCCGAAATTATGTTGATGATGGTGGAAAATGCAAGTGATACATAATTTGATTTTGTCATAATTTATGTTAGTAACAGATGTAGCATTACTGAATTTATGTTAAGTCAGTTATTTAGTTTTTGTTTAATTCAATTGTTCTTCTTTCACTTGTTAATTACATAAATTACTTCATGCCTTGCTTCTTTCATTGTTAGTAACAAATATGTAGTTTCTTATCTTGCTTATTTCATTGCTAATAAGAAAAATATTGTGGCTGCCCTTGATTTTACTCCTGCACCCACAATGGCTGCCAACTTTACTTTTACAAGTAAAAATAAGATTGTAAGAACAATGTGTACTCTCTTTTTATTATTTTGATGACTGTTGATTATTATTATTTTTCAATTATTACAACAACACGACATGCTTAAGAAGAAACACGTTCTATTGCAAATGGCAGAATTGTTAGTTGCTTTGGAAAAATGACTCCAGAATTTTTTCCTAATACATATAAAGGGGTAAGAAAAGTAGGCGAAAGGTGGGCATCTGAGTTAGGTTGGCTGGTTGGATTGTGTGTCACATGACCCTCCTCCAAGTCAAGGCTTGGAGGGATATTCCACAACCAAATAAAGTGGCGATGCTAGACTCAAGGTAATAATATAGAACCACCTAATTTCTTCCAACAGAAGGTCTTGTTGAATTAGAGTCCTATTTTGGATATTATTTTTGTAGGATAAGTTCGAACGGAATGAGCCTGATCGAGAAAAAAAAAGCCAAGATATTAGATTCCATAGACCGTCTGTTAAAGAAGCAGTTGAAAGATTGGAGGTGTCGGCTGCACAAATATTTCATACAAAAAAGTGTGGACAATCCAGAGGAAGTAAAAAAACACAAACACAAACAGGTTCTGGTGTTGGCAGGTTGGGATTCGTTATGCGACTATTGGTCGACTGAAAAGTATAAGGTAAGTTATGTAAATACCTTCAAAGCATTCTTACATTTTTTTATGTGATTTATAGGTTATGTAACAACTACTTTTTAACTTTGCAGAAAAAATCAGCAACCAATGCTTTGAATCAGCATTCAAGGAGCTAAATCATTTGCTTCTCATGTGTTTGATAAGGTATTTCATTTTGATCTGCTATGGTTGTGTTTAAATTTATATCAATAGTAGAAAAATAGAGCTCCCCATGATGGTTTCTGTGATTTCTTGTCTTTTTGAGTTGCTATTTCACTTTAGTTTATTTCAAATATTCAACCAAGCTGATTTAACGCATAATGTGTATATGAGAGGTTATAAATCACATACTAATCTATATATACACACATACATCCACTTTAGTTTATAGAGAATAAAGTATAAAATCACTTTTGATGATCCTTTAGGTAGTAGTTATGATATGTTAATGCCATTTAGTCACAAGCATATTCTTTTGACTCTTATTTGGCCTTAACAAAAGAAATACAGATGAAAATGAGATTTCTCTGTGGACAAAATCTTGTGACTGTGCTTTGTGAATGGAGTTTACCGACTCTTTGGATCCATATTTATGATTTTCTCATATTCATTTCTTAATGAAAAAATGGGTTGGTATGACAAAATTTTGAGACTGGAATGAGTAGATTGGTATCCTATTTTATGTTTAATGCAATTATTTAGCTTGTCCGATATCAATTAAAAGAATTTAATTATATGGAGTACTTTACAGCAAAGAAGACGTCTTTATCTAAAATCAGACATTTTAATGCTTGCGGTAAAACTCAATCTCTACTGACCATTTTTACAACATTCTTTATCTAAGAATCAGACATTTTAATGCTTGTGGTAAAACTCAATCTCTGTTGACCATTTTTATAGCATTTTTTGGGACATGTTTTGCAGTGGCGCTCGTTGAGAAAATGAAGTATTTCACTTAGTGCCTTGGCTCCATTTGGTGGTTTTTCTTTCATGACTCTGAATTATTCGAGATAACACATAGACCTCTACTATTAAGATTGTGTTCTTTTGTAGCAAAAAGCAAACGAGCTTGATAATTCTAGTGGACTAATTTAGCTCTGTCATGACATGTGCCATCACAAGACTAAGGGTATCACAAGACTAAGGGTTGGACTGGGACAGTACCAGAGGAGAATTATGCAAGTTTTTATTTATTTATTTATTTATATTTTTGTGTTTCTTTATAATTCAGTATTCATTAGTTTTTCTTTTCACTTGTTCATTTTCAATTGACAGCACAAGATTATAGATTTGCAAACTCAAACTGGTTATTCATGTGATGCAGTTGAGGGAAATACTTCTACACAGCCCACATTAATGACATAAAAAGATATAATGAATAATGTCCTTGGCACATGATCGGGATACATATGAGGAGCAGGCCAAGCACCAAGAGGGGGTTCGAGAAGGAGGAGAACAGAAAATGGTTTTTTCTCTACTCAAAGTCAGGAACACATGCTTGAGACCTTAAAAACTCTACAGATGCTTATCGATAACCTTAAGAACTTGGATGCACGTTGACAAATGGAGTTTGACAGTCTTAAGAACTTTGTGAAGTCTATGTTCCCACAGTATGAACCTCCTTTGGAATAGTGCTTTTATCTATCTTTTACTCTTATTAATTAATTAAAATATGGTGTAAGATCTCTTGGATCAGCTTTCATTCCCATAAACTAAAGGAAAAGTATTGTGTGACTCATCTCCTTTGGAATAGTGCTTTTATCTATCTTTTACTCTTATTTTAGAACTTTCAGGTTTCTAGTACTTGATTTTAGAGGATGTTTATCTATCCTTATGGATGCTTTTGTCATGATTTTAGAGGAACTAATATTATGATCAACATTTTAGATATCTTCTATCTTTGCCCTAATCTTAAATGCCTCTCATGCTCTTCTTTTCTATTACTGGGTTTATTTTGTTGGTTTTGGGCGCTGATTAGGTTGAGTCATGAACATGCCTTAGCTCCTTCTACAGCATATGAGGGTCCATTCAGCCATGGTGAGTTTTTTTGTCTCTCTCTCTCTCTCTCTCTCTCTTATTTTATCAATTCAGAGATCTTACCTAGTTAATCTTTAAATTATGTGAGTTTTATCTGCCAGAATCTTACTATTTAGCAACCTAATATTGAAGGGAAGATTGCACTAAAAATGAAAATAATGGTTATGGTTATTTATGATAAATCTCAGTTCTTTTTACTTACTGTTTTAGAACTAGCTTCATTCCTTCTTAATTGTCATTTGTTTCATTTGCCTTAATTCTAGGCTGAATGTTAGTATTATGTTTAATTTGGAATGGAATGATATGCTTCAACGATTTCTAGAACCAGATCAACTGGTTGATTGCAAAAGAAATTTACCTTTTGCAAGTAGTGGTTGTCATCAGCCTTTTAATTAGTTCCTTATATATAGATTGATGTTTTTTATCGTAAGATGTATGGAAGAACTATTTATTGTACTATCATTGATAGAAAAAAGGTGATTGCCTTGAAAATGCGGCCGGATTCATTTGTGCTATTTTGGATCAGTTTGTGGAGGTTTGGTTTTTTAAAGCTTTTAATCTTGTTCCTTGTACATTTAAAATCCAGATTGATAATTTTAAGGACTATTCTTAGGAAGCTATGCTATTGCAAGTTTTTGACTGAGGTTATTGGGAGACTATCACCATTTTACTCGCATTGCTTGCCTATGTTTACTTTGTAATCGTGTTTACCCTGTCTTTATTGCTGCATGTCATTCCTTTTGTGTCTTTATTTTAATGGATTAGTTTCCTGATTTTTATAACTGCAAGATGTGTATAAAATGGGATTGGGGGAGCAGGGACAAAGTAGACGCAATGTTCTATGCAGAGATGTACCATCTAATCCGAGCAAGAAGCACCGACGACACCGACTTTCTCATGACAATGTCGTCTCTCACGCCCATCTCTATTCCTCCACTTGTCTTTCGTTTCTCTCTCTTTTTCTGTCGTTTCTCTCTAAACGTCGTTTAGTTCCTTACCAAAATGTAAAATTCTCTCTTTTGCAGATGATGCTCTCAGTGATGCTAACCTCCTCGGTGATCCTTACTGCACTCTCATGGTTGCTTGCGTTTCTCAACAAACTATCGAACACACGCTTCGCAAGGTTTTCCTTTCCTTTTTCTACTGTTTGGTTTCCGAGAAAATCTTGTTCCTGCTCACTTACCTTACAAAAAATGAAACTTAGTAATTTCATTTGCTAATTTATTAGGTTATGAGCATGGGCGGGTGAAGAATTTGCGCTTAGTTAGGTACATTGTTAATTTGCTAGGTCACATTCCTATTTATTTATTTATTTATTTGCTTATTTATCAATTTATTTATTTATCTTGTTACCTATTTAATTAATTAATTAATGTGTTGTTCAAGCTTGCTTTAAAATCAGGGATTATTATTTCATCACCCCTGTATTTTGTCAAAATGGTGCATTTTTCCATACGTTTCTAGAAATACTTGTTCTCTTTGTCCCTGAGAAGGTTTCAACGTGATTTGTAAAATGTAGGGAATAATTTAACACTATTTGTGAAACATAGGGAGTATGTGTCACAAAGCTTTTCAGCCGGCTTTTTTCCAAGAAAGAGATGCAGATCCTAAATTTTCTTTTAGTTCGGGGGATTTATTTACTTTCTGCATTGGGTCTGTTTTCTAATAAATTAGGCTTTTTGAGGCTGCTTTCGTTTTACTAATAGACGATTCAGTGAGTTTTTTGGTTACTAGTTTGATGAGCTTCAAAGTTTCTCTGATACACCTGCCTTGTTAGTAACAAGGATTCTCTATACTTGGATGTCCAACTCTTGTTTTGCTTTCTTTAAGGCGTGGCTGTTGTTGAGGAGTGAGATCGCCCATGTCCTGTGTTATGGATTCCTCCTAGTATAAGTGCCTGTACAAAATGAAGTATATAATTAGGTTATCTATATAGCTAGCTCCGTAGAAATGGTTAAAAAAAGTGTACCGTGAGAAAAGGGAATCGTAAAAAAAGCAAGAATAACCACGTTAGCTCATTAAAAAATAAAAAATAAAAATAAAAAACACCACGTAGCTCATCTTTGAGTCAGAAAAAAGATATTTAGAGATAATTTTGAAAATGTACATAAAGCTGATTTATATGCAAAAGGTGTAATGCCCACCATTTACTTTAACAAATTAAAAAGGAACTTAATGATTTTGTGAGACAGTAATGTTATTTTATGAAATTTATGTTAAGTAAACTAACGTTTGTGTTAAGTAAACTAACGGTAACAAAGGGATCGATGTGCTCGCAAGATTCATGTCCAAAAAAAATTACGTATTTTTATTATGGAAAAATTCAGTAATAATGCATAATGGTATAAGTTATATATTATGGTGCATTATTATTTAATTATAATGTACATAAAGCTGATTATTTATATATGCAAAAGGTGTAATGCCCGCCACTTACTTTAACAAATAAAAAAGGAGCTTAATGACCGCCATTTACTTTAACAAATAAAAAAGGAACTTAATGATTTTGTGAGACAATAATGTTATTTTATGAAATTTATGTTAAGTAAACTAATGTTCGTGTTGAGTTGTATTACAAGTGACGGTAACAAAGGGATCGACGCAAGATTCATGTCCAAAAAAAAAATTACGTATTTTTATTATGGGAAAATTCAGTAATAATGCATAATGGTATAAGTTATATATTATGGTGCATTATTATTTAATTATAATGATGAAACAATGCTATATTTTATTATATTATGATCACAATATTTTGTTTACTACTCCCGTATGATTTTATTTTATGATTTATGTTACAATGTAAATATTAATTACATGCCAATCTCGTGATTTCTTGTTGCTATGCGACTATTAGCATATGATATTGATTGATAATGGTTTAGGAATTTTATATATGATTTATGGGAAGTTTATTTGATAGAGATATGCCTTTATTTGCATTCAAAGCTCAAATTCTGAATTTCAATATCTCTTATTCCTTTCACACTAGCATTTAACTTGATATTCTCTTATTAAATGTGCCAATCGTGATTGGTAAACTCAAATCAGAAACTACAAAAATAAATAAATTAATAAATAAATAAATAAATTCTCACGATAAAATTCTCTCAGCCCTATCTTCCTTCACATATATCTCCATCTCACTCTTTCTTGCATTGACGCCCACACCAGACAAGAACTAAAAAGGTACGTTCTTGGGATTGTAGTGTCTCTATACATTGATAATGGCGGCCAGGGATGAATATTTGATGAGGACGATTATGGATATATGTTATTGTATGAATAGATGATTTCTGGACACATGTGTATATATATATATATATAATATATACACACACAATTATATATGTGAAGATGTTGATAATTATAGATATATATTTTCCTTTCTTTCATGAGAATGTTCCCCGTTGGTTTTCTTGAATAATAACTATGATGATGGCTTTGAGATGTTGCACAGATTGTTGTTTCTATATGTATGTATATGTATGATTATATATATGTATTGTAGGTGTGTGCGCGTTCACTTATGTGAGTGAATGTGATATGTTCATAAATAATATATATATATATATATATAATTTCATTGAAAACGTGATAATGGAATTATATTTAATAGTATGATTTTATCAATTATGTGATCTGTTACGTCTAAGTGCTGCTATTCTTGAGGATGGAACTTCAGTATGTGATATATATATAGGTGTCTATACGTGAGATAGTTTATAATTTGTGTGATTAATCTGTTTTAGGATCCTATTGCTATTTTATTTGAATGTTACCAGTAACATGTTTATGCCTTGTTATTGAATTATATCGGTTGGTTCATGAATATAATTTGGATGATGATTAAATGTGATTTCTTGATTAAACCTGAATATATAGTATTATTGTAATTATTTTAGAATTTATGCACTGATTTTGAAGTCTGTTTTCAGAGGTCAAATAAATTTGAAATTATGCATATGATATATCGTTGGAAATCTTAGGATGTCTAGTTTCTAATGCCACTAGTTTTAAGCTTAATGTGATTTTTAATATTGTTATGAATTTTTGAAGCAGCATAGGTCTGGCTGTTTAAACTAGTGAATGTGATTCTAGATTACAATAACAACAACAACAACAAGAAGAAGTCTTAATCCCAACTTAATTGGGGTCGGTTATATGGATTTCACTTTTATACGCAGCTCTGTTCGAAATTAGACTTTCCTGAAGGCCTAGATCTAGAATGTCATTCCTAACTACTTCGGTGCACATAATGCTTGGTCTACCCCTCCCTCTCTTAGTATTAGGTATAAGAATGTCATTCCAAGCACGAACTGGTGCTTCTAGATTTAGAATGTGATTCTAGATTACAAAAAAATTATTTGATGTTGATTGATTAAATGAATGTCGAATAGGTGTCGTTTGACGTTATGAGTGTTAGGACACTGTTGACATACGAGTTATTAATTTTTTTTTTTAATATATGGATCTTTTCTTTTGACATGAATTCTCCAAGAGGCAAGCACAATGCATTCCCAAGGCGAACCATCACCATGATTCATAGGATAGGTAAACAACGCATTAAGTAAGTACGTTCTCACCTGTAACATGATCATTGATTATGAAAAATGTTTGATAAATGATTTCTAATGATATTAAGTTTTTATTAAGCGTTTCTCTTATAAAGCATTTTAGTTAGAATAAGAATGAATAAATGAATTTTTTTTTTCCCAATTTCTATGATTTTACTTGTGAAGAGTTTTATGAAAGCTTATATATGTGTATAAATATATGTTTTACACACCCTATATTTATGTTTGTCCCGCTAGGTGGATTGTCCCGTTAGGTGGACTGTCCTGCATGGTGGACGTGTCATGTTTTGTTTGGGGATTAGTTAGCTCACTCCTCGTGACGTCGCGCTAACGATGTTAATGGTGCAACGCTTGGGCCCCCTAAAGATAAAATGAACAATGCTTTGATATGGAATGTAATGAAAAGATATGTTATACCTAAATGCGTGTCTCATGCACTGCTATGAATATGACTGATGATTATGTTATGTTTTCATTGAAAGCCCAAATTATGTTTTGTGAGATAGGAAAGTGTACTTACTAAGCATTTACTTAAGAATTATATGATGTTGTAGATAAGGTTAAGAAGCCAACTGATGAATTGTATACCTGTAATCGAATTTTTATAGAGTAAATTAGGACTGCAATTTAGCTTTGTATACAGGCGGTATAGAATCAGTTATTCTAGGAAGTTTGACTTTGGAAAGTTGACTCCGATCCCTTAAATCATGGGATTGATAGCTTTAGGTATTTTCCTGATTTAGTTGGTTAGTTTCCTATTTTGTATCCTAGAATAGTCTATATATTGTTATGTACCATTCTATTCTAATCAATGAGAATTACTATCATTCTTCTCTATTTTACGTCATGGTATTAGAGCTTAAGTTCTCTCTAGGATTAAAACCTTTGGCCTTCATCTTCCGGCATATATTGTTGTTTCTTTGTGCCCTGTTTTACCCTGTTTTTGAGTTCAAAACAGAGTATTTTGCAAAGTTTCTATTCAGCCAATTCAGTCTTCTTTCTGATGGCCTTCATTGCCGTGTATCAGCCTTCATAGCCTTCATAAACTCTTTTTCTCATGACCTTAATTGTCATTTTTTCCCTGTTTCTCCTGAGTCGTTGGTCCTGTGATTCATCATCATGTCCGAAACTGTAGAAAACATAACCACAACACAATTTGAAGAAGCACAGGTACAAGTTACTCAATCAATTGGAGAATTGCAGAACATTCAAGTAGCCTATTGGTTGAATGGACGGAATTTTTTGAAGTGGTCGCAATTGGTTCGAACCTTTCTCAAAGGAAAGGGCAAACTCAGTCATCTTTTGGGGATGGGATCACAACCAAAAGATCCTAAATTTAAAGAATGGGTTGAGGAAGATGCTGTGATTATGTCATGGTTGTGGAATTCCACGGCGTCGGAGGTTAGTGACTGTCACTCTCTCAAACAGGAGTTGGTGACATGGAGGCTTGTTTAGAAATAAAAGGGATTAAGAAAGTAATTAAGCTAAAGTCAAAGTCAAAGATAGTATACATATAAGAATTTTCAAACAAACCCCACTATTTTAAGAAAATTAGGTTTTAGAAAGAGTGAGGAGGACTTTATAAAATTACAATCAGAGTTAAATCAGTTTCAAAAGTCAACTTCCGACATCCATAGGGTTTACACATTGTGCATACATAAACAATTACAGAAAAAGTAAAGTGCTAACATCAACCACAGTCCAGTAGAATTTAAGGTTACATCCATAGTTTTATATACATGCCTTGAATAAGTAGAGATGAAGAGAACACTTTACAGCTTCCTCTATTCTTGAATGGAATTCCTCACTGTTGAACCCACCTATTCAGCGCTACTTCTAGCATCACCTGAGAGGGGTTAAATTACATTTAAAACAAGGAAAAGTGAGCGAAAGGCCCAATAGAATAAAATTTTATAAAACTGAATAAATAAATGGATGTACAGACCCGTACGAATCATTAGGAACCAAACAACATTTTTTTGAAAGGAAAATAAATTAGTTTCAGGTACCAGCAAGTAATTTAATGATGAATTACTTACGACCATTGCAAGGCCAATCACCACCGTAGTGGCCCGTCTGAGTTTTGGGTCCTGCCCCCAAGGATACAATCTCTATATCCCGATTTCTAGGCCATCAGCGTTGTTACCATTTCTTAAAATATCTCATTTTAAGAAAAATATCATATAAAACTTTTCTTTAGTTTTCAATGATTTCAAATACGTTTTTATCTTTTAAACATTTTCATAGGCCAAATATTAAAAACAGGCTAACAAGGATGTTGACAAAAACATCCTACCTCGGATGTCAATTCTACGAATAACTTCACATAGTCTTAGCTCCACTTGTCTTTGAAGCTCCAAGTCTAATCGTGCCGCTAGCTTCATCATCAAAAATAATAGTTTAGAGTTTAATCCTTATCTCCAAACAATCTAGCTTAATTATCAACAATTGTATCATACTATGATTCTTTGAGAATCGGAGTTCAATCAAGAGAAATGGAATAGAAACAAAGATTAATATGGCTAATCCACTCACTTTAAATTCTCAAATGATGTTTAGTTGGTTCTCCATTGAAATGCAAGTCAAAAATAAGGTTTTGAACCATTTTTGAGGCAGGAGAAATGCACACCGGTCGACTAGTGGCAGAGAAGTGTTACTCCACCGGTCGGCTAGTGGAGTGGTGACCGGTCGACCGGTGGGGAGCAGAACAAGCAAGAACAATGGCATATCTGCGAGAGACGAGACCAAATCCTGCAACTTCGAGTTCAATTTTAAGATATTCTCATGAGAAATCAACAAAACCAGTTTCCAAGCATCAAATGAGGTTCAAAGAATAAAAAACCCCGAAATTCTAACATGGTTTCATTCAAAATCCATTCAAAAGCAAATCTAAATCAATATTCATCAAAATCCAAACTAAATGAGAGAAAAGAGGGACGAGTGAGGAAGAGAGAGCTCGGGTAAGCGAGTGAAACAAGAGGGAGAGAGAGATCTGAGAGAGAGTTGCGGGAAAGAGAGAAGGAACAAGAGAAAGTGAGAGAGAAATAAAGAAATGAAAGAAAGGAAATGAAAGTATAAAGAAAAGGATAGACAATATTAAAAGATAGCTAAAAGAAATGGGGCGGAAATTGTAAAGATTGAAAATAATTAAAAGTTCTTGATTAATTAAGGAAATCAAATTAGACACACTAAGACCTTGTTCACTTCGCGGATTCGAGTTTTCAATTCGAGTTGAGATGTGACATTTTCTGAAAGCTTTTCACTGTAGCATAAAAAGTTAGATGTGACATTTTCTGAGAGCTTTTTACTGTAGAAACTTAAAACTAAAAACTCGAATCGGTGAAATGAACGGGGCCTAATAAATTATAATTAGCATAATTAAACCTGTTTAATTCTTGAGGTCGTTACAGTGACACATGTTGTTTCTTCCAACAGCCAAGGACATTTGGGATGCAATCGAGCAAACTTATTCCAAACTAAGAGATGCTGCAAGGGTGTACGACATCAAGATGAAGACCATGGCCACAAAGCATGGAAGTCAAACGGTAACTGAATACTCCAATTTTTTGAAAAACTTGTGTCATGAATTAGACCATTACAGGGTTATTGAGATGAAATGCTGCCATGATGCAATTATACTGAAGAATTTCATTAAGAAAGACATTGTCTATGACTTTCTTGTTGGTCTTAATATCGAATTCGATCACGTCAGAGTTCAAATACTCGGAAGGGCTGAGGTGCCTCCTCTCAACGAGGTAATCTCTCTAATTTTGGCAGAAGAAAGCCGAAGAGGAGTAATGCTTGAGCCTCAAGCTTTGGATGGTTCAGCCTTGGTGACTAAATTTGAACAACCCCAAGCATAAGAAAGAGGGAAAGCGGACGTGTCAAGGCTCTTAGGGAGAGACAACAAAAACAATCATTGGAGAGACAACAAGGATAAATTGTGGTGCAATTACTGTAAAAAGACGAGGCATACATGTTCATTGGCACTCTCAGGTAAGTCCTCACTCTCTTTTGGATTAAATGCCTCAGAAAAAGTTTTTGTCGACTCTTGGATAATTGACTCAGGGGTCACAGATCAAATGACCCACACCTCACACTATTTCCGCACCTATACCCCATGTCCAAGTAGTAGAAAAATTGTTGTAGCAAATGGTTCTCTTGCTACAGTAGCAGGATTAGGAGACATCTATGCAACCCCTTCTCTCATCCTAAAAAATGTCCTCCATGTACCAAAATTGTCAGCAAACCTAGTTTCAATTCAAAAGCTTACGGAAGATCTTAAATGTTGTGCAATTTTTTATCCTTCTTACTATGTTTTTTTAGGAATAGGAATCGAGAAGGAAGATTGGACTTGCTAAGGAAAGGAACGGATTTTATTATCTTGAAACACCGAGTACTTTGAAGAAAGTCATGAATAATTTGTCTGTCATTTCTCAGTGCTTCCAATAAGGATGCCATTTGGCTTCATCATTTTCGTCTTGGTCATCCATCTTTTCGAGTCTTAAATATCATGTTTCCCTATTGTTTAAAGGACTGGATATTACATATTTTCATTGTGATATTTGTGAGCTTGCGAAGCATACCTGTGTATCCTTTTCTGTTAGTAATAAAAGAAGTACTCATCCTTTTGATTTGATTCATAGTGACATTTAGGAACCAACTACAATTCTAAATATTTTAAGGTCTCGGTGGTTTGTTTTCCTAATTGATGATTGCACTATGGTTACATGGCTACTCATACTCAAGCAAAACTATGATGTAAGCAGTGTTATCCCTAATTTTCATTCCATGGTTCAAAACCAATTTGGGGTAAAAATCAAGAATTTTAGGTATGACAATTCAAAAGATTAATTCAACCAAGTTTTGTCACCCTATTTTCAAAAGGAGGGTATTATTCACGAGTCATCATGTGTCAATACACCACAACAAAACGGTGTTGCTGAAAGAAAAAATGGCCATCTACTTAAACACCACTCAAGCATTGTTGTTTTAGGGAAATATTCCTAAATTCTATTAGGGAGAGTCAGTTCTTACTACCTTCACGGATATTAGGTTACAAAAACCCCATGGAAACCCTTCTGAATTCTATCCAAATTTCAGGACCTCAAATGGCCTCCAACCTAGAGTCTTTGGTTGTACCTCTTTTGTCCATGTTCATAACTGTGGGAAATAACTGCATTATCTTTAATGTTATCTTCTAGAAGCAAGCATTATCTCCTAAGGATTATGACTGGCTAGTGCTAAGGATCA